GAAGACCAGTAGGACTGAAGTGCAGGCAATATGCTCTTAAAGTTGAGTTTGAAGTGTCGTCATGACACTACAAGTAAACAGGACTCAGATCAGTAAAAGTGCAAAGTAAACACAAAGTTAGAGTCGCTGTATGCTTCAAATGAACTAGGTCGTATGACCAACCACTGAAATCTACTTGTTATTATAAGACCGTTACCTCATTTTTGATAAGAATCCATATCAGAGATGTGACAAACGTACAGAGACAATCCACAATAATATGATTTAATCACTTTGTGGATATATTTTTATTCATTCTTTATGAAGGAACAACATATAATCTTTATCTTTCATAGCACAAAGCAGCAGCAAGCATTATTTTACTGAATGTTTCGTCCTTTTTGCGAATGCCTTTATCATAACATTAAAACAATACTGAAACAAAATCATGTCATGCGTGTTAGCGGCAGCCCTCTCAGAACTACTTATTCATCACTTCAACAATGATGACAGTGATCACCACTACCACCATCAACAGACCAGCAGCTACCCAATATCCTGAAATAAAGAAAAACAATGAGTCATCCGGTGTCATTTACACCTCAATATGGACTTTGGCTTTGAAGCCTCCAGTTCGGCATTTTTGTCTGATTTTTGTAACCAGAAGTGACACGAGAGTTCAGTACAACTGAACGCTGATGAACACATTTTTATGTGAACAGAATGTTACAATTAAGTTGCATGAACTGAAAACACACAGTGAAAGGGTTAAAGCTTTTAAGACGGAAACACGGACAACTCCCAGACTGGAAGAGGTCGTGATAGAGACCTGTCAATCACAGTAGCCCCGCCCTAAAGCATCCCCTGCTATTTGACTCTAAATGGACCATTTACTAAACGAACATCATGCTGTATTGAAGAAGACTTGAAACTAGAGATTGAGACCATAAACTCATGTTTACAATGTTTACTGAGGTAATAAATCAAGAGAGAAGTAATTTGATCTGAAATATGAGGTTAGTGTAACACTTACTATATTTCCCGGTAGGAACCTGAAAGGAAGAAACAAAATAAGTAATATGAATTAGTAACAATGAAACTGCATCATGTCAGAGGTGGACCACAGTAACGATTCTGTTATCTCTATCACAAATATCAGCTCACTCTGCATCGATTGTGTGGAAACCTGATTGCATTACATCAGTAAAAATAGTCGTTACCACTGAACGGGAAGATCCAAGAAACGTCTCGACCTCGTGCCACGATATGTCGTTGCAGTTGCTGGTCAGGAGGTTGCGCTCGTGGAACAGGAGGTCCACAGTGAGCAGGACGTTTCGGTTGGACACCTGTCTCCTACTTTCAGTTACAATGTAGTCACGATTGAAGGTGTGATGCATCACCACCAGAATTACTGGTTTACCAACTGTAAGCAAAGACAGCACAAACAAATGAGTCAGAAACAACATGACACATCTTTCCTATACATCTTAGAAGTTTCTTGCCATTGTATTCTTAAACATGCGGATTTGTTTTTGCCACTTGGGGGCAGCAGAACACGCTTTAAACACTAAATGATACAACCACCTTTTAGAGTTGACATGGTGAACTTGAGGCAAACCGGGCTTTCAACGAACAAGTAGACCACAGTCTGTGTCCTTTGTGAAACCAAAACTCAACGTTGACTTATTTTAAGTTCGGTAGCTAAGTTAACTTACATAACGCACCTAACCCATGTGACATATGTAACATGTTTAACTTACGTAAACAACTTTAGTAAACTCACTTAATTCAACCCAAACCATTATCTTTCCTCAAACTAACCGAGTAGTTTTGTTGCCTGGACCTACGTGACGCCATGCGGTACCAGGTGCGTTAAAGCGTGAGGCCAAGGGGTCCTGAATATGCATCCATATGTCTGGAGTTTGGATTGAGAACGAGTTCATATGTCCAGCTAGTCTCTGATGTCTGCTGTTTGGGACAAGACAGGTACAGTTGGCCTATCAGAGCTCTTTTACTTAAAACAGCTGCCGGCTGCATCTGGAAACAAGGTTTGGGAGTTGAGGTGTGGTGAGAGTAATTCTAAACAGTAAAGCTGAGATCTTTAAAAGCAAAGTAATGATATGAAAGGTTCTGTTGAGTCTTGGGAGCGCCAGCTAAAAGTATGGGAATTGAAAGTCCAATAAGAAACTGGCGAACGAAGGCATTTCCTACCTGGAGTGTTGTTCAGGGCCGTGCTGATGTCCGTTCCAACTCGTGAAACGATGGGACAGAAAACCACGAGGAAGTCGCTGTCTTCAGGATTGGCCACATCGATTTTGCCAATGCCTTTAAGCTTTGCAACAAAATCGCGATGAGCATCGTTAGTTTTTCCCGCCAAGTGGACAAAGAATTTCTTCCCCAACACTAAAGACAGAGACGAATGTTTGAGTCATTATTGAGCTTTACATAGTTTCAGAGAGAATCTAATTAGTTAGATTCAGCAGACATTGGAAAAGGTTTTTACACATTCACAAACTTTATCACTTTCATTAACGCCATAAAACAAGGGATGGGCGATACCGATATTTTATTAAATTGGTATGTGATTTTTCAACATAATGATCATTTTTTGGGGAAAGTAACATCATTACACTCAAAGACAGATCCTTTACTTAAAAGGTGCAGTGTGTAGGATTTGGCGGCACCTAGTGGTGTGGTTGCAGATTGCAACCACCTGAAACTTTACCTGTGTGCCAAGCATGTAGGAGAACTATGGTGACCGACGCTTAAACATGAAAACAACACAAATGGCCCCATCTTGAGCCAGTGTGTGGTTTGTCCGTTGTGGGCTTCCGTAGGAACATGGCGGGTGCTCCGATAAGAGGACGCGCTCCGTATGTCGATAGAAACGACTCATTCTAATGCAACGGATATGCAACGATTCTTTTATTCAGGTGATTATACGCTAAAGAAAACATAGTTATTATATTCTGTTTCTGACAATAAAACCCCCCCTGAATGCTACACACTGTTCCTTTAAGTAAAAGTACTAATACCACACTGAATATATATATATATATATATATATATATATATATATATATATATATACACACACACACACATTAAATGAGAAAAGGTCCTGGTAAACAATAGTATTTAAGTATTAGCAGCAGACATGTACTGTAAGAATCAAAAGTAAAAGTAGTCATTGTGCATCAAAATGGTCTCTGTCAGTGTTTTACTGTTAATGCTGCATTTACACTCAATCCTTCAGTTTGTTTGAAACCTTCGAATGCAAAATCACCTTGAGTTGCAGTACTTGAGTAAATGTACATATTTACATTCCACCACTGAGTAGCTTCATTTATTAAAATAAATAAACAAGCAAACTCGTTTTCTCACCAGTAGTCTCCTCCTGGTCCATGTCTCTGAGGAGGAAATAGAGAAAGAGGAATTTAAAGTCAACACAGTTAATAAAATAAAGTAAAGCTAAACAAGGAGAAGGTGTGGGCTACATGTATCACAAACTGTTGTGTCACTGCAGCTCTGCACAAGCTTGAACAGCTAAAGTACCTCAGAGGCCTTTCATCTAGATGGCTCCGATACATGGTTGAGATTCAGCAGTTCACAGCCTCGCACGGGATATATATTAAACTTTTACAAGATACTTTATAACTTATAGTTACTTACGAAAGAGCCTGGTAATTTGTTGATAATACTTCTGGCATGTCGGTCTCAAACCAGACAGGAAATAATAACAGCTACCAACACGTACACGGACCCACCCTCTCGGTCCGGTGGAACACTTTCACTTTCGATGAGACGAGCACGCAGAATGAGTGCAGAGAGAAGTGCAGCTGTGTGTCAATGTGTTCAGCAGTAACAGAGGAGGAAGGAGGAACTGCAGAGCTGCTGGTGCGTTACATGCACACTGTTGATGTGATATTACAGACAGCTTTAACAAGGATGTCTGTGGAGTAAACATGCCTTTAAGTGTTCACTTACTCAAACTGTTGCAGCTTTAGCAGCTTATTTCAAGATTTCTATCAGCTACATAATCTTAGCAAGGCAGTAAAGTATTGATAACATTTTGATGACATGTAAAGGACAATCTAAAACACAACTATTCAAGCTCATTTAAAGAGCAACTTGCAGGGTTTTAAAGGTACAGTGTGTAGCATTTTGGGAGATCTATTTGCAGAAATTAAATATAATATTCATACCTATGTATACACGGAAGTTTAAAACTTGCATTCTCTCTAATATCCACCAGGGGGCGACTCCTCTGGTTGTATAGAAGTCTATGAGAAAATGACTCTACTTCTCTCTTGATTTATTACCTCAGTAAACATTGTAAACATGAGTTTATGGTCTCAATCTCTAGTTTCAAGTCTTCTTCAATACAGCATGATGTTCATTTAGTACATTATGGTCCATTTAGAGTCAGACAGACCATAAAGCAGGGGATGCTTGAAGGCGGGCTTACTGTGATTGACAGGTCGCTGCCTCTACCAGAGCCGTTTTTGGCGTCTCTACGTCACTCCCTCACATTCCAAATCTGGTGACTTCCTTCATCGGTTGCAGAAAAACAACATGGCGACGGTTGTAATCCAAGATGGCGACGGCGAAATCACCGAACTCAAGGCTTCAAAACAGCAGACCACAAACCAACGGGTGACGTCACGATGACTAAGTCTTGTTATATACAGTCTATAGCTGCACGGCCATGTTTCTACAGTAGCCCTGAAAGGACAAACCAAACACTGGCTCTAGAGACTGAATGTAGAGTGGACACTTCAGGTGGCTTCATGTTTGCAGGATGTTTGGTTCCCATATAATGCAATATGTTTCTCAGCTTGTTGTGAAGCTCTCCTGGGGACAAAAAAAAATCAATTAATGCAAATTTAAATATTTACTTTGTTCACTTGACTCCACTACATCTTGGGGAGACCCCTAGTCCCAGTGCTGCTGCATTCAGGGTCTGCTCGTAAACTTCTACGGCTGAGTGGTGAAGACTAAAATACATCTGGTTGAAGCATTTACAAATGAAGGGAGACAATATAAACTAAATAGACTCTATTTTGTGGTAGAAATCTAGCAGCGAAAAGAGAAAACGCACATCGGTGGAGTTATTATAGCAATGTGTTGGCTGAAACTAACAAACATTTGGAATAAATAAATTAAACAATTATTATTATTATAATAATCAAACTACTTACTCTCATTGCGCTGCCACACTCTCTGGTCCCTTAACGCCACATCTCATCACAGAGTAAGTCTTGTTTTGTGTCTTGTTTTTGCTTTTATTTCAAACAAACAACACCACAGCAGCTTATTTGTCTTCTGTGTATTTAAGTGTTGGAATTAAATGTTGACAAATTGTGGTTCATGAGAGCAGCATACATTGGAAATACTCCAAGTAAAAGTACCTTAAAACTGAGTACTGTATACATACGTAAGTATTTGTTGGCCACTTGAGTATCTTAAGCTACATTATACGACACCATATATGTCAATGCCAAATGTGCATCTGTAGGAAAACACACTTTTTATCCCACAGCCATTACAGCTACAATCACGCATTCTAGTAAATCAGGTTTACATAATGCCCCTGTTGTTCCCCCCCCCCAAAAAAAAAAAACAGACCCAGCAGTTTATATTATAAAATAATATAAATATAAAGCAGTTTATATACTATAATAAATATAATATAAAATAATATAAATATAGATCAGTTTACATATAATATTATATACATCATAAAGTAATATATTATTTCACGACAGTGTTTTTAAAGGCATGCACTAGCCCTTAAAGTGAAATTCCTTGAACGTGTAGTTTTGTGTACACATAGAAGATGATTGTGATCATGGGAAATCCCGGTATTTCCGACAACCCTTGAACGCAGCAGCAGATGCGGGTCTTATTTGTTCCCTCCAGCAGGAGGGCGTTCCTCCGAACAACATCCAGATCCAGTGTAGCGAGTACTGCCGGTGCGCGTCCTTCATATCGAGACGCTGTCAACGCTTTGTGTGTTTGTCGGTTGTTGTTTTGTCTAAAGAGTTTGTTTAACTCCCGGATCGGGGCCTTCCTCCATGTTAGCCCTCCATTGGTGGACGGAGGAGGAGGAGGCCAGGCGGACTCGGAAGACATGGAGGCTCTCCGGCTCTGCAGAGGGAGGGAGCTGTAGGACGGTAGGCTCGCGTTGCATTTTCTCCTCCTCGTTAAGAAACAATGAAAAGACCGAGAGGACAGGTTAATGTGTCTCCCACTGGAGACAGCGGCTCGCGAGCGAGCTAGCTCTGCTTTCTAGCTGGACGTGTTTTCCTCTCCGTCGTCGTCAAAATCTAAAATGTTATTTTTATTTTTTATTTTTTAAATCCACACAGACAATAATGATCTTTACATCTGGTCCGACACATTAAACAAATATATATATATATATATATAAAATTTTTCAAGCAGCAGGTCAGTGGCCTTCAACATGATGAGACACATCCACGCACCAACAAATAAAGAGAACACCGTTCAAATGTCACGCGTGATGGAAATGCAACACAGCGGGATGCTGCAGCGAGACACGCTACTTCCTCTTTAATACTTTACTTCTGCTGCAAGACCTTCATGGTGCCGCAGAGAAATCACATTTTGCAATCGTGTTTTCCGGTAATATACACAGTGGTGGAAGTAAAAGTAGTCATGCTTCCAAAAGTGTGAGCATCAAAAAGTGAAAGTAGTCATCATGCAGAGTGTTATTTAGAAGTTGCATATATTATATTACTGGATTGTGATTAGTGATGCATGTGTTCATGACTTTATTGGTGCAGCTAGTAAAAATGGGGATACTTTTAAACATTTAATATATTGCAAATCCTCATTACAGGATCTTTAAAGGAACCCCTCTGTTTGTTTGTTTGTTTTTAATCAAAACTGGTCAACATGTAAACACAGAACTTTTGAAAAAAACGTTCCTCTGCATCTGTGATGTTCTTGTTATACATGTGGACGTGTATACATTATCTCATGGCACTTTTAGAACTAGATACGCGTGAGAATAAGTCATTGTACCATAATAACACATAGAGGTTGTGTCTGGATGGTTCCCCACAATTAACAAAACTCCTGCAAGATGGTGAAGGTTCAGCGTTGATTCTAAGTGGTTACGGTTAGGCACTGACCTCCTATGGTTAAGATTAGGACCTGCCTTAACCTCGTCTATTTATTCTATTTTTTTTATCAGAACACTTAATTGTTTTTTGTCGTATAGAAATGTAAATTATTATGACTTATGCAACCATGTAGGAAGCATTACAGTAAATGAAATGCGTGTTCTCTCTGTGTTTTCAGTGGTGATTTCTACGGGGGGGTTTCTCTCCTAGAATGGACCCGGCACACATTGGAGGGGACATGCCGCCTTTGTATGTGCCCAGAAAACGAAAATCTGTGCAGTCACAACCCAAAAGTGGAGTGCCATGTCCAGGTAAAAAATAAAGAAAAGCAGGGTACAGATGATCGTTCTGAAAACCTTTCACTGCGTCTGTTTCTCTGATTTCTGAATCAAGTTAAATGTTCCCTCCCAACAGTTGTTCAGCGACTACCAGAAAGAACCTGTGACTTAAATTCAGTCGGATATCCCAAGGTGAGAATGATGCAATAAGTACCCAGCATGCACCCTGTTACATGCAATGATGTCTGATTTAAGCAAACCGTCCAGATGTTATGAGGGAACGTCCATTTCCATCTGCTAATACTTCCGAAGGTGTTAACTGTGTGTGCACAGCTGGATCTCTTCTTCACAGTTCTGTACTTGAATGTTTCAGAATGACGAAGCTGAAGCCCAAGACTCTCTAAAGATGAAGAGAACCTACGGTAGAAAGAGGTAAGAGACACGTCGACTTGTTGCTTTGCAGATTGTAGATTTGTAGATGACGGACACTGACGTTATTACAGATATAATGATCTACAGACGGCATGTCTGGTGTGAACAGGCAAGCAGTTCAAATGTAACGTCATATATTATTATTTGTTTTATTTATTGACGATATTTAATCCAACAAGCTGGTGGTGATGAATAAAAGGTAATCATTTAGCTTTGTATGCAACGGCTCATTCTAAGGTAACAAACACAACTATTCTTATTTTCAGGTAATTAAACACTAAAGAAAACATACTTTTGATTAATAATTATATTCCATTTCTGCCAATAAATCCCCCTAAATGCAACACACTGGCCCTTTAAATAACTTTTTATTGTCATTCCTAAAATAATAAGTGTTGATGGATTGTTTTCCTTCATCAGGTACGAGGACCTCCATAGTGTTTCCATAGGAACAGTAGATTACCCAACCACCAGCTGCTCAGTGATGTCATCGGGTGGCCTGGCCAATGGGGCGGACCCCGGGTCCATGGCTCCGCCCACTGCAAGGCTGCCACCGAGACTGGTGGGAAAGGATGTGTGGCCTCAAGGCCCCGAGGCCAGCAGGGAGCCGCCCCAGCCTCAGGACCACAGCTGGAACTCCAGCAGGGACCGGGGCCCCGACGCCTGGGCCCCGGGTCGAGACCGACCGCAGGAGCAGGTCTGGAACTCCGGCAGGGACCGAGCGGGACACTCCGGTCAAGAACAGACGTGGATCCCGGGCAGGGACAGGGCCCACAGCGGACCGGACCAGGCCTGGATGACTGGCCGGGACCGGGGCCCCGAGCAAGGGTGGGCGGCCGACAGAGACCGAGGCCAGGATCAGGTGTGGAACGCGGGCAGGGATCCGGGGAGGGACGGGCCCTCCTCGGGGCCGGAGCAGGCGTGGGGAACTGGCCGAAGCCAAGACCAGGGCTGGAGCAACGCCAGCAGAGACAGAGGGCACGTCTGGAGACCCGGTACGTACAAGAACACGTTACAGCAGCACCTTAAAGATAAAACCAGCTACAACTCATATGAATAATATAAAGTTAACACTAGATTATGGGATCCAACGAATGTGAAGGCTGAAAACTGGACCCTGACTGCAGCAGCTCCTCTACTTTATATTTATACAGAGTGGCCTGTTCTCATACCGTCTGTGTGTACATTAATAGTATGTAGTTGTACTTCCCAAACTAAATATACGAGTGTTTTTCCTTTGTTCTCGCATGCATTTATAAGAGATATAATGTGTTCGTACATGTAGAGTATGTTGGTCTTTATGTTTGGAGAGTGACTTTGTTGTTTACGTGTTATTTTTGAAGACTTGAACATGAAGAAAGTCCTCCGAGTGGAGCTGGAGCGAGGCCCACCTGTTAACAACTTCTCTCAGCCACCAGAGGGCCGAGACTCTTGTAAGTTACCGTCCAGTCTCACATTTAAGGGGTTGAGAGTGAGACATTATTATTTTTATTCAGATTATTTTGTGCAGAAATGAAGAAGTCGTGTTGGCCGTTGTGATATTCTTGGCAGCGTTCCCTGCAGACTAATTGGAGCGGGAAGCAGTTTTCCTGCTGTAGGATGAAGATATGAAATGAAAACAAAAGAGCAAAAGAAAGGGCATTAAAAGAGTGTCCTCTAATGCAAACGTTTCAGCTTCCGTTGCAGCGAGTGTCGGTGAGGCCTCAACGGCTCCACCCAGCGAGGACCAGAAGCCCCCAGTCCTCTCCACCAAGAAGGAGCCTCCTACCTATCCTCCAGGTGAGACGACCACTGGTTCATATCTGAGCAGGAGAAATCCATCCCCACTGTCTAGTGTGTTCTTCCAGGGGAGAGATTAAAATATGGAATTGTACAATAAGGTTTTTATTCACAAAAAAATGACCATTAACATGCTGCAGTAATAAAAATACCTCTGACACAGAAGGATGTCATTAGCTGCTCCTCATCCTCCTCATCATCCTCCTCCTCCTGAGACATTTCAACTGTGTAAAGTCAAATCTTCTATTTGTCGACGTCCACCAGGAAGTCAAGAGGAGCGATGGCAGCTCCAGATTGTGGCCAAAGGCAGAGTCACTTGTCCAAAATGTAAAAGTGTGAGCAGGAAGACTGTGGAGGGGCTGAAGAAGCACATGGAGAACTGCAGACTGGTGAGCACGCTGTGTTTCTACGCTAATGTTAGTCTGAATTATATACATATACACCGTCTGATGAAGCCCTCACTCATACAGTATAGAAGTAGAGTAGACCTCTGAATATCAGAGGTACCCCTAGAGGTACTTTGGAGTACTACAGGAGGTGTGTGAGACAAAATCCTAATTTAAAAAACATTCAGTCATGCATAATTCCTAAAATAATTACACTATAATACGTCAGTAAAATGATGAAATGATGAAATATAAGTTAAATTAACTGCATTTTATGTTCAATGTTAAATGTAATCGTCAACTGTCTGGATGACGTTTGTCCAGACACAGATTCATTTGTGTCCATCAGGTAAACACCATATAACCTAAAATTAAAAATCATGAATCCCTTACCGTCTGTACTGATTTAAAGCATATACTGTCTATGAATTTATGTGCCGTAACGTTAATGTGCTGTGTGCAGCAACCCTTCACCTGTCAGCACTGTGGGAAACAGCTGAAGTCTTCAACGGGGATGAAGTATCACATCATGGCTGACCACAGCCACCTGGTAAGACTGATCAATCCAATACATGTTATTGCTGGCTATTCATAACCAAAATATGTGCGAAGGGGGGACCACTCGTTTACATCTCAGGTTCCTTGAAATTCTTTGGCTAACCTTTGAGTGGTGCTTTTATGTGACTCTTTGTGGAATATTTGTTTATTTGTCTTTGTTGATTAAATCGTATGAGTGTTGGTTGACTAAGGACAGCTCTAGTAAGTGTGAAGAGTTGTGCAGATTCTACCCATTCCATGAAAGTATTGTCCACCTCTGGATGAGCGGAGCTTTCATTAAAGTGTTTCTTTGCATCTTACAAAATGTTCCAGCTGCCTCTTTTTTCAGCCCTCAGCAGAAGATGCCAAGGACCTGGACGATCGTGCCATCAAAGACAAACTGCGTAAAATCCTGAAGCGACTGGGCAAATTAAAATGCTCTAAAGAGGTAAAACTACAAAACGGAAGATTTATTCAAATATGGTAAGAAAACGGCGATGAATCCACGGTGAAATGTTTTTTTTCTTCTTCTCTTGTCAGGGTTGTAACGCTGCCTTCACCAGCATCATGGGCTACGTGTACCACATGAAGAAGTGTGGGAAGGAGGAGTCCGAGCTGGAGAAGATGCTGCTGAATTGCTCTCACTGCGGGAAAACCTACAAGTCCAAAGCCGGTCTGGAGTACCACCTGAAATCAGAGCATGCTCCCGTGAGTCCTGTGTTTTTATTTCGTGTGCCGATTCAGATGATTCAGAACCGTTTAATCCAATTGTTCCCCCCCTCCGGTTACCCAGACACCCCAGAAGAGTGAGGAAGACGAGGCCCTGAAGGCCCACAGGGAGGCGAACCCGGAGAGGACGGCCAGCGGCAGGGTGCAGCGAGCATCGGCCCAGGTGGCCAACTTCCACCTGGCTGAGATCGCCAACAACGAGCTGCCCAAAGACTGGCCCAAGAGGAAGTTTCAGTCGGACCTGGTGCCAGACGACAAAAAGGTGAGAGAAGGTTGTCTCACAATGGAAGGCGGACCCGGATGCTTCGACCGTCGACCGTGGTTCACATGCGAGCCGTGCTTGTTGTGTGTAAAGGGCTGGCTGGCCGCTGTCCTGGGTGCTGAAATGCAGCAGAGGAGATCGATAGATAGACAGACTCAACAAAAGAGTCGCAGTCACAAAAAATGGGAACCGAAATTGTTATCTGGGACAGCCCTACTTGGATGTAGCGATCAATTTGCAAGATGTTTTATTGTGTAATATTCCCACAAACTAGTGGGAATGTATGTCGGTTGAGGAGCTGAGATAAGTTGGTAAACGGTGATGTGAAGGCCAGACAGACGTTTGTACTGAAGATGCCGTCACTGACCACCTCTTCTTCGTTCTGGCCTTCCCAGTTGAAATACACCCGACCGGGCCTGCCGGCCTTCAGCCAAGAGGTGCTGAGGAAGTGGAAGAACGAGGTGAAGCTGCAGAGGAAAGTCCATTGTCCCAACCAGGTAGAAAACATCATAGCGTGTGTGTGTGTGTTTGCTGTGTGTGTGTGTGTTTGCTGTGTGTGTGTGTGTTTGCTGTGTGTGTGTGTGTTTGCTGTGTGTGTGTGTGTGTTTGCTGTGTGGTTATGATGTGTGTGCAGCCTGGTTAGTGGAACAGGATGCCTCGTCTGTAATAAGATTTAAAATATGATTTAACTCAGTTCTCAGTACAAGTCAGCTTTGGTATTTGTAGTATTTCTATGTCATGTCTTTTAACCTTTTTAGATTTATTTATTGTCAGAATGCTTTTTTAAATCAAAAAACGACTATTTGTAACTCAATTACTCGCCTCTCGTTACCTTGAAATATCGAAGGAAACTTAGTTTTCTCTCCAGTCTCGACAGTGAACGGAGAATCAAAAAGTAAATTTCAGGTAAATAAGAGCCGCGTTTAACTACAAACCTATATCAAAACATCAGTTTACAAACTCGTGCAATATAATCCAAGTCTCATTTATTCAGCTGTGTGCTCACTACTTCACAAGCACATCTTCACTAAAACCTTAATATTTTTATACTTCCTTCACCGTGGAGGCATGAGAGAAAAACAAAGTTCCCTTCAAGTTATCACAGGGTTAGTGATTGATAATTAATTTGGTAATTTTGTGGGTGAAGTGTTCCTTTAAGTGTCTTTCTTAAAGTGCACAACCCTTAACACACTATGCGTTCCTTCCTCAGGGCTGTGGCTCCACCTACACCAGTGTGTCTGGACTGAAAGCTCATCTGGGACTCTGCTCGAGGGTACGTCAGCCTTCTTTTCTTTATCTCTGAAGATAACTATGCATTGGGAAGAGAAACCATGCATAGTGACGTAGATATTGATACATTCTGAAATGTATTTAAAGTCTTAAAAAACAAACATGTTGCTCTTGGTGTCACTTTTCCGAAAATGCCACCTTCAGTCTGGCCCGCGTACTACAACGTAAAAATCTAACCACTATCCAATGTTCTCGTTGAAGTCGGCTTTGTCAATCACAATACGGATGCAGTGATTAGTGTAACATAATAGGTGCAGAGCATTGCAGCTTTATAATCATTTCATGGCTCTTTTGTTGCCTCTCGTCTCGTTTCAGGGCGACTTTGAGGCTGGAAAGTACAGATGTCTGATCTGCAATAAAGAGTTTAACTCTGAAAGTGGAGTGAAATACCACATCAACTCTGTCCACTCGCAGGTAACGACGTAGTTCACGACAGGTAGAGTTGTTCCGATACCAATATCTAAAATGCTGGATCGGGATATCGGTGAGAACGCAGGTCCATCTGATATCACGTGATGTCATTTATCAGCTCATTTAGGCTACACAGAAACAACAACAACAACAACACGTGTCTATTGCTACCTGAAGTACTACAACACACCTGTGGTTAAACCATTGTTTCCCTGTTAATGCTGCATTGACAACAACAAATCTGTGCTGAAATTGGCAAAAGGAGAGCTCGTTAGCGTTAGCTGTTTAGCAGCCGGTGGGCAGCACAGTCCTGCTTTGCTAATAAACGGAGCTAACGGCTAACGCTGACGAAGGTTGCATTGAGTTATATTATGATGCGGTTAAGCTCTATTCAGTGAAAATGTGTAATAATGATAAGATTTTTTTTTTGTTCAATCAAAGCAAATGCTTGAATACAGATACATTAATTTATTTCCATATCATTTGTATTATGTGTTATTATGCAAATAACCATTATACATGACAATAACGAGGTGAAAGGATAAGGCGGGTATTGGAATTGGTATCGGGACGTGTCTAGAATCAAGTAGCTTGAACCTTGTTTCTACAATCAGGATGAATGGCTCGTTTAATCAGAAGAGCCCCCCTGCTGACTTGCTTTGACCCCGTCTCATCTTTCCAAAAGGACTGGTTTGTGACGAACAAAAAAGCCTCCAAGAAGTTTCAGAAGTTCCTCAAAAACCAGCCCAAGGATATTATCCATAATGTGGACAAGCAGATCGTGGAAAACTACCACCACCAGCACCTCCAGCAGCACCATCATCATCATCACCACCTCCAGCAGCAGCAGCATCATCATCAGCAGCATCACCACCACCACCACCACCAGCAGCATCTGCTGCAGCTCCAGCCCATGCAGCACCCTCTGCAGCCGCTGCATCACCTCCAGCACCAAACCCAGTTCCTCCACCCGGAGCACCAGAGCCTCCCTCCGCAGCTGGACGCCCAGCACCAGCAGCCGATGCTCCACTACACCCCTTTGGAGCCTCCACCCGGACCCATGTGGGTGGACATGGACCAGGGGGGCGCCGGGCCGGGACCGGAGCAGGCCCCGATCGAGCTGGAAATGGCGGATGTTGAGAAACCCGGAGAGGACGACGGCGGGATGGCGGAGGGGAAAAGGAGAGATAAGGGGGAGAGGGGGAAGGCGGATGGGAAGCGGAAGGATTGCTTTGCTTTCGGTGGTGGTGGTGGTAATACTGGCAGCTCGTCCGGCGAATCAGAGGTGGAGCAGCGGGACAGGCAGAGACAGATCGACCAGTGGAATCTGAAACGTCCGGGCATCATGGAGCCCCTCCCCGAGGCTGGGAAGGCACAAAGGAACACTTAAAATAAAAACGTCGTCGTGCATCAGAGCCGATTTTAACAGAGGTAGAAAAAGACACCACGGAGTGTCCGTCCCTACTTCACTAGCTGAGACGTAGAACTGGTTTTCCACAAGACGAACCGGTGAGGAGGCGGCTGACGACTGAGCTGCTATTTACGACTTTAAAAAATGTTTAGAAGATGACGACGGAAACCTTCAAAAGAACCTCACAGAGTCGGCGTGGATGTGAGACTACACACACACACACACTCTCTCTCTCTCTCTCTCCTGGTCCAGAGGCTGTTTCTGTGGTTGTCATTGTATAGCCTTGAGAAAACTGTAGTGTAGCGTTTTATCTGTGCGTTTATCTGCAACAGATTCTTTAAATGTGTCTCGTTCTTTTGATGAACCCTTCCTGTCTTTCTATGTTGACCCTTTAAAGGGGAATAGTTCCTTTCACTTTGAGAGAGGCTGCTACAGTGAAGTATTTTATTAGACTCGTGTGTCTCTCTGAAAAGATTTTGTGCCTCTTAAGTATGATCTTCATATCTTCATACTACGTGCTCACTCTTACGTAACTGATTGGCCTTTTCTGGGTTAAATTCAGTTTGAAGTGTCACTTTTTCTGGTAAAGTTCAACAGAAAAAGGCTTCATCTCACCGTGGCCCCTTCCTGTAACAACTTTTCACCAGTGAGATTTTGACTAAATGTATATTTATTTATTTTTTTTGACAGTGAATGCGACTTGGCTTCATAGCTGCCCTCCATGAGCCAAGTCTGCTGGCAGCTCGTGGGCGACGTCTGTGTTGTGCTTCCAGTGCAGTTACAAGAGTTTAAACAGGCAAATTACACACGAAGAGCGATCACACGACAAGTTAAAGCACATTCATCACAGTAAAGTAACCGTTCAACATTTTGGGAAATGCTCTAACTGGCTAAAACTTTAGGAAGATCAACTTGTACAGAACAACGGTTCACTCGTCCACCCGGTGGATGGTAAATAAATGGACTGCGTTGATAAAGCACCTTTCTATTCTTTGATTTGTAGACTGCAGGCGCCGGGGATTCGAACCACCAACTGTCTGATTAGTGGACGGACGCTCTGCTCCCAGAGTCACAACCACGAGTCAGTGCTTCTGTGCAGAGCATCTCCAGCTAGCTCGGCCCCTAAATTATTAACAATTTCACGATTCGTCCACACGCTCTTTGTCACAGTTCAGCTTGTTTCCCCAAAATGTTTGACTATTCCTTTTTAAAAAGCAGCATCAGTCAGTTTAAAATGGACTCCGGCGGTGTGTGAAGAACAACATGTGAGAATCTTTGATTTGCAGTAATGTTTTTTTTTTTTTATTATTCAACATCCACTCTCTAGCTTTCTGTGAAACTTAAAATCTTTTACTCTTCCTCAGCTGATGGAGCTCTGTTGTCATCATTTGACCTGAGCTTGATGAAGAATCCCACAAGATGGGTTTAAAAAAGAAAATCCGTTTTTTAAACATTCCACAAACCAGGAGTTTAGTCGGCAGGGAAACAAAGTAAGATAAAGCACATACGTGCGACGGTCCACTTGTTCATGGAGTTAATGGACTGCAGGTGACAGGAGGTCAGACGTTGACACAAGTGACATTTCACTCGGATGAAGGAAAGCCAACACACAAATCATTTCACACTTTCTGTTCATTCTTCAAAGACCTTAATGTTTTTATCACAGAATATTTAACAGATAGCATGTAGCCTAATGTTTATGTACTCTACATTATGTATCTACTATAGTGACGTAAGGTTATGGATGCTCGTCAGTCATTTGTTTGTGATGTTTTATCACTATTCTGTATGTTGTTTTACAATTTCTTTTGCATTTATGAATGTATTTTGTTTCCCTTCTGTTGTGCACTTAAAACAACCTGAATTCATCATTTGATATGTTCAAAGAGGAGAACCCTTTAACCTGTCTTTAACAAAGTATGTGAATGATCCTGTTTAAAGTGCTTTAGCCTTCACTTCCCTCCATCAGATGCCTTTTGGAAGAGTTTAAAATAGAGAACCTCCTTGTACGTGGGAAGTATTTCAAAAAGTAGGATTTCTATATATTTGGATGTCAGGCAGCGGTGGAGAACATGCAACGATCTCTTTGTGAACACTGTATTCTCACTTCCTGTTTTCAGTCATTTTACCTCTATTGTGTTGTTTCTCAGTGGTTTAAACCATAAACACATTTTCCTGGTAGCTCAGTGTAACGACGCGTTGAACCGCCTGTTTAAGACGTCTTTGTTTTATTTACTTTAAAGTTACTGTGAGGAAAAATGACCCCACAAGTGTCTTAAAGTCCTTGTCTTTTCCTCTCTACAGTTTTCAACACTTAATAATAATGTTAATAAGATAAGTATTATTTATCACTATAGGCGGTGGTCTCCTGAAATGAAGCAATATCTAACTCATCGTCGGTAGTAACATGTCTCTATTGGTTGTAACCAAATCAACAAAAGGTACTAAAACTGCATCCTGTAACCAGAAACAAGCAAAGAATAGAAATCTTTGTGAAGCTGTTTTTGTTTTCCTGTTGATTATTGTCTAAGTTCATAAATGGTGAAATCATTCAGAAACTGTCTCAAAGCTTCCCTTTGCTTCTTGGAATACTTCCCATGTGCACTTATGCTTGTGACCAAATCTTTAGCGCCGTTCAACGTTCTCCTCAAAGTCCGAGCGTCGGTATTCTGAGCGGAACGTTGCTCAACCAGTAAAAAGTGAAACTTGTTGCATGTTTTCATTTGCACCTCGTGGTCTTTCCTGCTGTTACTTTATTTCTTCTTCTTTAATGCAGGAGCGACGATCTGTCATCCAGAGTTACTTAAAACTCAAAGCCTGTGTTGTTTAAGAACTGTACTTTAGTGCCAGCAGGAGTTGTTGTCTACTCTCTGCAATAGAACCAAAACGGCTACAAGATTACGTTTGATTTTATCAATGGTGACCCGTTTATTTTGACAATAGAGTACTAGTGACAAATAATTCCAAATACTGGGGGCAGAGTTGTGTTATTAACCGTACAGTAAATTAATGAGGAATGAAAATAAAGTTCTGATGTCTTGTGCCCCATCATCATCGTCATCATCATCCAGATCTGAATAAAGGTTCAGTTAGCAGTCGTGTATCGTTTGTAAACACTTCGTTTTCTTTTTCCTCCATCGTGTGCGACATCATTCATATTCAAGGTGAACTGGTTATGATCTCAGCTGAATTTATGTTACAAATCTGTACATTTAATATGTTTGTTTTTTCATCGTACCAGCATTGTTATAACCACACAGATGATTAAAAGTTTACTTCATGATCATGTTGTGTCTTCAGTAACAAGCACAACATCTGCGCTCATGTTTTAGACAAAAACAAATAATACAATGACATTGAATATAAAAGTGTGTTTGAGTAATATAAAATATGAAATTACAGGGTATGGAAGATAAAAACTGCCTTTATGATTATTTTATGAATGATCATTAATATGCATATGCGTTTACACATTCAAATATATTTTTACATGATGTTTAATAACGTGTTATGAAATGTTTGTGTTTGGCAGAAGTGAAATAAACATTTGGATTATTTAGTTGCGGAGTAAAAGATACGTAAAACTATAAGTAAAACTTTTAATGCATTCAGAAGTACATAAGTGTTTTTAGCAAAATGTAATTAAATATAAGTTTCAAAAGTGAAAGTACTCGTAATGACCTCTTTCAGAGTTCAGATTATTGTTTTACAGTAACTTCACAATCTAAAGACTTTAATTTTACTCTAAACAACCTGAAGTACTTTGAGAAAATTGGAAGTGTGTCTTTTTTCCGCACTGAAGATAATTTGAAGAACTAAATAACATAAATATAAATATTTAAATCAACTGATGCCAAAGAAAACTATGAACAGTTGTTGCGTTATTGCACGAGTAATAACAATCTAATGATATATAACAGTCACTGGGAACATTTTTTTAAACACATTTTCTGATTATACAACTTACTTAAATAACATTTTCAAAAACGTTACACTGACTCTATTATTCCAGGGAAAGGTTACACAGACTGATATTGGGAAATCATCTTTCATTGTTTCTGGGAAGCTGTTGGGAGCATTAATAACCTGATCCACTCATAGCCGTCCTTGGAGCAACCTCATGTTTTGCCAAATATATATATTTTTTTAAATGCTGATTTGTTTGGAATGGTGATCGTAAAATAAAATAAATCTTGCAAGTGTGGAAGAGACTCTGTACCCAGGAATTATTTGTGGTTGAGAGAAACGGCAAACACATTGCTTATGGATCTTTTTTTTTTTTTTTAAATGTAATAGTTTTGTATTTAATTTAATTAGGACTGGCTGTTATTGCTCAGGATGTTTGTGCGGTGGCCTTTAATGTATTTTTTATTTAATTTTAATTTTTGTATTCCAGCTATGCTCTCAAAAATTAATAAACACATCAGTCATTTAATTTTAAGTTACATTTTCAAAGCAGGACTTTAAGTTGTATCAGACTATTATTTTTACAGTGTTATTAGTACTTCTACTTTAATAATGATAAGATAAAATAATCCTTTGTTAGTCACGCAGTGGGGAAATCTACAGGATTACAGCAGCATAGTGGAAAAGACAAAAACAAGATCAAAACAAGTATTATAAATAAGTAAATAAGTAATAAAACTGTAAAGAATATTAAATAAGTAAAAAGGTAAAAAATCCACAATAACTAAAATATGATATATACAGACAGAATAATTGTAGAATTGGTCTGAATACTTTCTCCTAGACAGAATATCTCACAGAATAACCAAATGTAATCCTAATATTTGGTTATTCTGAGGGTTGAACTCGCGACTGCTACAGCAGTACGCCGGTGTAGTTCCGTGTTCCGCCGCTAGGGGGCGGTGTGAGTCACCATGCCGGTACAGTAACATGGCGGTCTAAATGCGAGCAGAAAGCGACTTTCAGCCAAACCGGAATCAGTGGACACGGCGCGTGTGGTGTTCATATTCTAGTCACACGTTAACAGCTGGACCCACACGTCCGGTAACGTCTCCGCGGTTTCGTCGACCTTCCGCCGAGGTTGGGATTCGATCCCGAGGAGCCAAACGCAGGCGTCTCGGCTCAGGGTTACGACGCGTTTCAGCCTTCGCCACCGAGGAGTTGAGCCTCTACTGCACGCAGGGTAAGCTTTTAATGGCCACCAGCGAGCGTGTAACCCGAAACGTCCTCCACGTTACCGGCCGATGTAAAGAGGGTTCACGTTACTGAACGCCGGTGTAGGAAGCGCTGACACTCCACTGCCCACTTTAGCACGTTTAGCATTAGCTGTGTGGTGTTAGCTCAATAGCATACTCGCTGCAAGACTGCAAGCCTGCAAACCACTTGAATAACTTGGTACTTGCATGTGTGATATCTGAAACATATGCCGAATTAATGGGTGGTTAACATATGACAAGAATAGTCGTATATCTGTGTGTCTATCACCGATTTACACTGAAGAATGCGGAATAAAACATAAAACTATCACAAAACCCAATGAGGTGTGGTTCAGTGGTCTCGGATAACGCGATGTTTCCACAGTAAGTGTTTCTAAACTACTTCCCCAGGTGTAAAAACACAATAAAGACCTCTCAGGTCATCATTCACCGTCTTTACAGCTGATAACTTTGAGTCAGTCAGTCCAGAAAAAGAGGAAACACGGAAGTATGATGAAATATTACTGCATGTGTACAATCACTGTATAACGTCACCGTTCATAAATGCATCTGCAGGTGTTTGTTTGTACTACATCCTCAGATGTTGTTCATAAAATGTCTTGCTTTGTGTTGTGTTAGTGAGGAGACACCTGCTCCATGCAGGAGGAGGCTTCTGACTGAACCAGCACCAGAACCACCGGGCCGATGGATCCCATTGACTCTGGACAAGGTGATACAGAGCGTAACATTTACACGCATGAGGTTACTATCTATTACAAAGGTGTCATGGAGGGAAAACGTGTCATTTATGATACTGTTGCAGTAGGAACTGGATTTACAGGTTGTTGCCGACTCTGGAGGAGCAGGTCTAGTGGCAGGACGGACGCTGTGTGGGGGTTCATTCTGAATTAATTCCTTTAAATTAATTCCTTTTCTAATCTTGGAAGCTGCGTTGAGTTGATGCAGCATTGTGTTCATTTTGTGCAGCGCTATACAGGACCATATTTGGGATTTTGCTTGTTATACAACATATTTGACGTCCCTAAAACATATGGTTGAATGTTAACAATGTTGTTTAACATTATTATGTACTGTGACGTATTTATCATCTATTATTATTTATCTATTATTTCATTTTGTTATTGTGTATTGAGTGATTAATTCAAGTACATGCATTCATTTTTGTGCCTTAATGATTAATTTGAGAGCAAAAATGATTCATTCGTTTGCAGAAATTGCTAATTCAAGAGCATGAATTACACGTTTGTGCTCACTTCCACCTTCCATATTATACATATATTAGTGTATTCCTGTAAGAGTAACATTTGGTGAAAGTTGTGCACACTTTTAGTGAAGCTGTAGTCTCTTAACTGTGTTTTTGATATATTTTTGTATACCTGTGCAGTAACAACGTCACTGTCCACGCAGGGCAAGACAAGCCGTCAGGTTTAACACCCAGCTCCAGAGGACGACAACGGAGGAAAAATACAAAATATTGTGATTATGAAACTGATGATCCGTCTGATGTGCAAAGTGCCCAAGAAAAACCACAAAGAACGAGGTCGGGAGGAGGCAGAGGAGCGGCTTCTAAGAGAACTCCGGCAAAGAGTGGCAAAGCTGAGAACGCCGGACAACAGACCGAAGACGTGGAACCAGAAGCTACCAACGGAACGCCCCGGGAGTCTGATGGGGAACCCTCGGAGGACACTCCTAAAAAGGCGACGAGAGCCAAGAGGACCCCGGCGAAAAGAACTCCCGCCAAGAAAACTCCCAACACCGATGGGGAGGGTGGGGTTGTAGACGCTGTGCAGCTGGAAAATGGGACGCCAAAGCCAAAGAGAAAGTATGTGAGGAAGCAGCCTACGATGGAACCGGTTGCAGAACCCCCGTGTGAGGCAGCTCAAGAAGATCCTCCGATAGAAGCCGAGGAGGAGACCACACCGAGTGGGCGCCACAGGAGAGGTGCTGCTAAAGCGTAAGCTGCATTCATTAGACCTGCTCGTACACACAAAATGTCAGTTAAAAGTAGAGGTACCGGGGTTGCAAGTTGAGACGTTCTCCGTGCATACACATCATCTCAGGGTAGTGTAGTTATTCTATATTTAATATGTTTCTCCAGGGCATTGAAGTACCTCCACATTTTGGCAAAAGAAGTGCTCAACCATCCCAGTGATGAGTCCCAGCCAGAGTGCGACAGTGAAATCACCCGCAGACACTCGGTGACGGAGCGGAGGAGTCTCAAAGGAAGCAAAGGTACAGTTTCACCTCTCAACACCACGTAACAGCTGACTGATGCTGAGCGCCACCTCTTTCTCTCAATGCACCAATAACCGCTCAGCACTCACTCGAATGAGCCCCTTCATCCGGCCTGTAGCCTCCATCTATAACATACGTCACAAACCACAAAGGCAACGTTTTTAGTGTTTAACGCGCTGGTATCGGATCTGTACTCGATTCCCATCTGACCAGACTGTTTGCTGCATGTCCTTCCTTTACTTTCTTTCCCCTGTTTTACTCTCACCATCATTAAAACATCCATAAAATACCACACATCGTTCCCACTGAGGAGTTAATGTCGGGTTTATTTCACAGCTTACCGAAACTTTGTCCTTTTCTGCTTGAAATCCTGATTCCCGACTGAAAGTTCAGTGTTGCTGTCGATAAGATAAGAGGAGAATGTGCAGCGTGTGCATGTCCCAACTTTTCCTGTCACGGTCGTTGTGGGTCAGGCTAGAGATCACATAGTAGGACGATAAGCTCACCAGATCAGTGTGTGTGTGTGTCTCTATCGTGACGTATCGATATTGCATTCTAAACTCACATAAACCGACAGTCACCCTGCACTAATAGCAGTGAAGATCCCGACATACTGACAGGAATACTTTATTAGTTATTTTCCTTCGTGCAGGACGTAAAGGCCAAAAGAGGAAACGTTGTGACAGCGATGCTGCCGAAGATGAGGACTTCGTTCCAGGTGTTGAAGAAGAGGATGTTGAGGAGATGGAAGATGAAGGGGAGGCAGAGAACTCAGACTCTGACTCGGGGACCGATGGAAGAAGTGCAGCCACTTTTCATGTCCACAAGAGTGTTAGTAGAATCTTCTGCTTCGTTCTGATTGGCTGTGATCAAATATTGAGATACGGAGACTCTGTGTTCTTTAAGACAAACTTTAGATCTCTGCAGAACTGTTACTGAAGAAATGAAGCTATAAACTCTTCTTCTTCTCTTCCTGCAGACAGGCCCGAATCCCAAAACCCCCAACGGGCTCACAACCAACATCATGAAAACGGTTTGGGACGCCACGAAGACGACCAAGAAGTTGTAAGTAGCTTCACTCACGACTGTCGTCTTTTTGTTAAACCACACGTGTAATAATAACGTAATAAACTAACTCAGCCACCATATTATTCCACAAATTCACTGACTCTCATGTGCAAAACAACCCAGAAACGTATTATGGTGTGTGTGTGTGTGTGTGTGTGTGTGTGTGTGTGTGTGTGTGTGTGTTTTCCAGCCGGGAGGAGCACTACAGCAGCTGGGTGTTCCCAGAGTGGGTCCCCTCCACCAGTGTCTGGAACCTCGTTCCACCGAGGTAGGTAGTTCACCTTTAACTTGTGTTTGTAATCATCGAGACAATAAAGTTTTCTACAAGACAGAGAACTCCTAAAGTGATCAAAATAAAGTCGTACCGTATTTTAAAGGAGCTCTATTTAACATTCAGAGCATTAATGTAGCAGCAAACTGTTATCTACGTAAAGATAAAGAGGAGTGATGTGTAGAATGAGGTCACTCTCCCTCTGTGTGTGTGTGTTGGTATCAGAGCTTTTGTGTGCTTTGTTGACGCAGACGGGCCGGCCCGTGCATGCTTTTAGTGCACGTATAGTGCACGTGAGCGTTCCCCACGCTGCTCTACTTTCTATACAGTGATCGTTGAAGGTTTGTGTGTCTCATGTGTTCGTCAGCGATGTGGAGAAGTACCTTCCTCAGGAGCTTCAGTCGGCTGCTTTCAGAGTGTCCCGAGAAGGCCTCGGTAAGGAGGAGACGCCTCTGCAGAGACTCAGCAGGTTAGAAGGATCCAAGCTTTTAAATATAATTATATAAAAACAAATGTAAGTCAGCATTTACCACTTTACAAGACAAATGTGTGACTGGCTGGAGACACCTCGGGAAGAGTTTGTTCCACTCTTAATGGCTCCTTCATGATGCATCTGTTTAAGGATCTGTTTATGTCTCTGACCAGGTTCACGGCGGTGCCCGCTCACCCGGATCGCTGGGACATGTTGCTGTATGCGGGTGGACCGGTCTGGGCTATGGAGTGGTGTCCCACACCCGATGGTGCTCCGGCATCCCAGTACGTCGCTCTGGCCTGCCATCGAGGGATGGACAACCAGCACTGCGTCAACAAGACGCACGGCGGAGCCGGACTCGTTCAGCTGTGGGACCTGGGCACGCTGGAGTACGACAGCAGGTAGAGCTGAAGTGGGCGCACTTATTTCTTGCTACGCGTGGCTTCCACCTCCTTTTTGTTTTGAATGAGACGCATGTCTTCCGTCCCTGCAGACCAGACTCTCAGCCAGCCTTGGCCTACGGCTTGGCCCAGGACGAAGGCTTCACCTGGGCTCTGAAGTGGTGTCCTGCAGGAGGCTGGGAGCTCCCCAGCTGTGGCAGAAAGGTGAGGAGGTGTTCCACCAACATGAGAGTACAGTACTGAAGACTAATGTCATAATGTAAATATATTAAAACATTTTAAATCCCCCGCTGTGCCTGAAAGGCTCCGTTCCTGCCCAGACTGGGTCTTCTGGCGGTCGCCACCTCCACCGGTGTGGTCACCATTTACAGCCTGCCCCACCCGGACGCTCTGCACTCCAGCAAGAAGGAAACTGGTAAGACTGGGAATGTTAAAGGCAGATTTCCTAAACAGTAGAAATGACGCACAACCCTGACACCCAGGACATGAAGTGCGTCTTGTGGTCAGTAGAGGGCAGTGTTGCCTTTTATCAAGCGTGGAGTCAGGATGTCGCGTACCTGATTCCTGTAGTAAAGCAGAGTCTTAGTGGTGCTTTTCAGATCATGGCAACAGCTGGACTACGGATTCGTTCACATCTCGCTGAACCCCACCCAACGGCTGATTGTTATTTGTGTTGCACACCTCCATTACTCTGTTTCTTCACGCACCACAACGAAGAAACAAAGAGGCCGTGCCGAATGAAAAATATAGGTTAAAAAATAAGGACAAATCGAGCTTTGTTGTGTTTCTGTATCCGCTCACTGCTGCGTCCTTCCATCTCGTCTTAAAGAGTCTCATCCAGCGCTCTCATCCATATTCTGACCACTAGTCCAATAATCCAGAGACCACTTATCTAATTTACCAGCGAGAAGTCGAAACCAGCAGGAACTAACGACCCCGATGTGAAATGCAATTTGAGCGACACGACGTTCGTTTATTTCTAAACAAGTGAAGATTTTGAGGCCGGTGGAATTATAGAAGTAGAAGAAGAAATGTGTTCACAACCACGTCGATAAATATTTGTACAAAAGCCTCATCTCGACTGATTATCATATTCATTATAAATTCATTATTCTCTATTCATTAATTGTCTGAAAATAAGGAAATATGGCCGTCACAACCTCCTAAAAACCCAGGATGACGTCTTCAAATTGCTTCTTTTATCCGACCAAAAGACAAAAACCTTAATATATTCAGTTTACGCTGATATAAAACAGAGAAGAAACATCAAATTCTTACAACAGACGCTTGAACCAAAGAATATTTGGCTTTATTGACAGAAAAAATAAGAATTAATTGATTAGCAGTAGGGTTTCAGGCTACAGTCTTTTACACACCCTGATTCATCGGTCTCAAAAGCATCAATCGTATCAGACACGGACGTCATTAACTGGATCGGATCTCGTATTCAATAAAAGGACAATTGGGGGGGGGGTCCTTCTGTTTAAAGCAGCTTTACCAGTTAACTGCTTCTCTGAAGCACTTGAAAACACACACACACACACACACACACAATGCCCCCAGGAGTGTGTGAGTATATGCTGACATTAGAGGAGCTGGAGCCTGGCGTCCAGTTCACGGAGCTCTGCTGATAGAAGACTGGATGAATGAGATTAATGGTGATCTTATCTGCCACATCCATCATACACAGGACCACGGTTATGTCTGCACGCATCTGCGTGTGTGTGTGTGTGTGTGTGTGTGTGTGTGTGTGTGTGTGTGTGTG